AGAGATACATTGGTTGCTTCCCGCAGGAGCCCTGACCAGGGCTGGGGATTGAACCTGTAACCCAGGTACGTGCCCTTGACTGGGCATCAAACCTGAGATGGTTAGGTGCTTGGGCCAACACTCTAACCACGGAGCCACACCGGTCAGGGCATTTTCTGTTCTTTTAAGCCATCCATTTTGTGGTATGTAGAGACATATAAAACGAATACAGCAATACAGAGACACATACATGAATGCACGTGCACTTACTCGCATGTATTTTTCTAAAAATACAATCATTAGATTTCTTTATTCTTTTTTTTTTTAAATATATCTTTATTGATTTCAGAAAAAGGAAAAGAGAGGGAGAGAGATAGAAACATCAATGATGAGAGAGTCATTGATCAGCTGCAGCCCACAAACCGGGTATGTGCCCTGACTGGGAATCAAACCCTGATTGCCTGGATCCTAGGTCGATGCTCAACCGATGAGCCATGCCCTGCCGGGCTGATTTCCTTATTTTTTTAGTACCTTATCTCAATATTTGCAGTTCTGGTTAAGTAGGTAATTATGGTTGGATAGCTTTTCATAGAATTCTTGGGCACTTCTATTGCTTTTAATAACAATTCTGTTTTGATATCAGTTCCCCTTCTCTCTACCGATTTCTTTATATGTCAAGAATATTACTCCAATGTCAGTCGTAAATGAGGACAATTTTTTCTTCCTAGGTTTTCATGTGCTCTTTAATACTGTTTGTCCCCAAGGGAGTTGCTTTAAAATTTGAATAGATTTGTATGGTTAAGAAAGTAATACTGTTTTCTGCTGAAAATATTGGACTAATACACTAGGAGAACAGAACACCTCCCCCCAGGTCTACCAGGGTAACAGAGCATGCTACCTCAGAAGCTACACAGCCCTGGGGAACATACACAGCCTGTGTTATAGGGGGATCCAGGATTTGAGTCTCTATCAAACTGTTCCCCAGGTACTCGTTGACCACCTCTCACTTTCCCTTTCCTCCTCTATAGACCAGTGAATAGATTTTGTCTTGAATGGACTTTGTGGGGATGTGATATAACATACAATATCATTCTTTATTATGAAAAGAATCGGGGTTCCTGGAAGAGACAAATACACAGAACCATGTCAGTTAAGCATTGACTTCCCAGCTCCAACCAGACCTCCTGGCTCAGTAACAGGGATACAGTAAGACTGGAGAGAAACACAACAAAAATAATGAGAATGAAGATGACGACACCCAAGGAGTTTTTGGTGAGGCTGTGTTTTCAGGATCCAGAATCAGCTTGTGGGAGGGCCTCCTCTGGGATCTTGTACTTGGCCTGGAGGAAGTGAAGGGAGTGAGTTGGGAGATCAATACAGCCAGGAGCCCTGAGGCTCATCCCCAGGCCACTTGTTCTTCACTCACTTGACCTGAATCCCCAGAACTCACCTTGGGCAAAGCCAGCACCTGTGCAGCTCTGGTATAGTCCTAGTTGTTGTCATGAAGACACCTGGAGTGGAGGAAGAACAGGAGACATCTATTAGGACCAAAGTGGAGACACTCTGAGAACACCTTGCCATTTCATAACCTATGTGACATAAACATGCCTCCACATTTACTGTGACATAAGCCCTGTACGCAGTGTGTGTTGGAAAAATTCCTGAAACCCAAATGTGTCAATAGAAGAATGAGGTCCAAGAAATTCATAAAAGAATACATACCTGTTGAAAACAACTGTGTAGTTTATATGCAATGAGAGAGAAATGTTCAAAGTGATGGGTGAAATAAACAAGCAAACGAAATTACCTGCAAGTTCTTTTCATTTGCACCTCTGCTCCTCCCAGCTCCCTCCTATCCCCATGCATACCCAGCACTCACTTCTGAGACAACTGGAGGCTCATCCCAGACTGGGTAGAGAAAGCCTGCACCATTTCCTGCTGCTCCTGGGAAAGGGTGGCCATGGAGCTGGTGGTGGGTGTAGGCACTTGAATGGAATACACACTCTGAGACTCATTGGGGGTGGCATCCCTCACAAACAGCTCATCATTCATGATGCACAGACTGGAGAAAAATGGGCCCTCAGACAACTGATGGATAGACAACCCCACACCCTCAACAATGATCCTGCTTTGACTGCCACTCAGCAACCAGATTCCTCGCACATCCCTTCTGTACCTGATCCTGATTCCTTGCCTGGCAGCTCTGCCACTCCCACAGAGTTCACCCTTGGAGAGATTGTCTACCAGCTTCACTAGATTTGTACCTCAAACCCCACTGCATTTACTCTGTAAAACAGTTCAAAGGAGAGGACAGTCTAATCCCATTTTTAAAGGAAAACATAGTGTCACAGCAAGGTCATGTGATTTCACTAAGGTATAATATAAATCTAGTGAGAGTTGGGGTCAAAAAGAGAACCTAAAAGATCTGGAACACTTTCAGTATTCTAACTCCAGAGTCCATGTTCTTAACCCCTAGGCAGGACTGTTCCTGGATCTACCTGTTGGCTTCCCACAACACTGAGAAAACCCCAAGGACATGCACTATCACATTCCCACAGCCATGAGCTCAGGCTAGGCTGCATAGTCCCACCCAGAGCACAGCACTTACCTGGAATTGCTGGCAGGGGTAGCGATGAAGGTCCGGGTGAAGGCACGCACAGAACCCCTAGACCTTCCTTCCACTTCAACAACAAGAAACAATATCCCCTTGGAGACCCACATGTTTCCCTCACACAGTGTTCCCCAGTCAGGGTGGGACTCCATACTCATGCCCAAAGGGACAACTGTTCACTGGGTGTCAGAAATAAGGAGGGAAACAACAGAAGCAATCTACTCCCACTTACAAAAACCCTACTATGTGCTGGTCCCTGGAACAACCACTTCACAAGTTTCTTTGATTCAGTTTTGCAGCTACCCAAGAGGTGGGTATTGTTAGTCCCATTTTACAAATGAGGAAAATGAGAGGTTAGGTAATGGGTCCAAGTTCCCACAGTTGGGATCTGGGATGACAGTCATCAAACCCCACAATTGTGTCCCCAAGCCACAGCTGTGCTGGGCTGGCAGGCATGGATGCAGGTCAGGTCAAGATGGTTTGGGGGCAGAGTTCTTCCAGGAGAACCCAGAGGGACTAGTAAGAAAAGGGAAGGGATCAGGGAAGCTGTGAGACTCCAGGAGGAGGGAGCAGTGGGGCATCTGAGAGAGGACTCTACACACAATCACCTTCCTTGAACACGCCATTGACAGAGAAGCAGAGCATCCTTTCCTAAAAGAGAAGAGTTCAGGTGCTCAGTGGCCATCTACATTTCCCACCCACCTGTGTTTTTCTGGGCCCTGTCCCAGGGAGGAAGTGAGCACTCACCAGGTGGAACCACATGTCCACCTCCAAGGAGGTGAGATCATGTTGAGTTTTGGGCAACACACAGAGGGAGCACGCAATGTCATGTTTTGTGTGTTTCAGCAGCTGAAAACGCAGGTCTGTGGGGGAAGGACAGGAAAGGTCAAGGTTGCCTCACCCTGGACCCTATGACCCTGCTCACCCCCTTTCCCTGCCCAATCTTCCCCATCCCACACGCACTGGAGTCCTTGAGCTTCTTCATATTCCTATTATCCTTGAAGTACTCAAACAAGCTGCTTCTAGGAGAAAAAGAGGAACAGGAGGTAATGATCCTGCCACTGTGGGTGTTTCCAAGACCTGACTGTGTCTCCTGGGAAGATATACAACCCAGGAGCAGAGTCTAAGTTGTGATACTCACTGGGCTGGATCCTTGGGGTTGAAAGGAATGGTCAGGGAGAAGCAGGCTTCATCATGATAAGCACTGAGAAGACAGTACCGGTCTCCAGAGTCATAGATCAAGTAATACCTGTAGGGGAGCGAGGGAACAGGCTGCCTGTGTTAACCAGGCTCCAAAAGAAACATGAGAGTCCCAATCGGCAGTCCTGGTGCTCCCAGAGGTACTTACTGCTGCAGAAATTGCAAGACTAGACTCTTCAGCGCATCAGATCCAAAGAAGTTTCCCTGAAATCAAAACAGTCCTCAGGACCATGGCTGGTACCCCATCCTCATTCACCACCTAAAATCCTGCTAGATCTCCTCTCCTCACCTGGCAGGATGGTAACTTCTTGTGGGCTCCGATCCCCAAATTAGTTGGTAGAGATGTCTCCTGGCCATCCTGGGGAAGGAAGAGGAAGTCAGCCTTGCAGACCAGCAGGTGGTGCTGAATGATCAGGAAAAGGATTGGCCCAGGAGACGGTGAGGGCCAGAAGAGCCCTGGAAATTCCATGGGCAGAACTACACTTGTACCATCATCATGAGGGTCCTGGAGCCTGTAGAGAACTTGTGTGAAGAAGTTCCAGAGCTTTTGTCAGGTTCCCACAGGGGATTAAGGCTCAGATCCAAATATGTAACTTGAGCCAGACCTAAAGGGGTTCAGAGCAGGTTGTGGGAGGTGTCAGCGCCACTTAAAGGAGTCAGTGATGGAGGAATAATACACTTACTAGGCATAATAACTTCGGGAACAATTCCAGGATGGAGCTGCCAAAATCAAGACAAAACAGAAACGTAAGTGAATCTGCAGAGCAGCCCTGCCTCCTTGGAGCAAGCACACCTACACCAGACATACAGCCCAGTGTGTTCCAGCTATACTCCACTGTCCCAGCCTTCCAGGAACCTGGGAACTTTCTCCAAGGACTGACCCACAGGAAGAGCACTCAGCTTTCTTCCCTCCTTACCCCCTCTCCCTCTCCTTTCTGCTGGGTAGCTCCCACTTAGATGTGCTGACTCCCTTCTCCAGGGGCATAAGGAGCAGCATTTGGAGCTGCACACTTTTCCTTCACCTGCCACTGTTGGGTCCTGGAACCCCAGTTAGGAATGAAAAACTTGCACATGTTGGACTCGGAGCCCTTGGGATGTTGGCTGAGTCTTTGTCACCTGTGGGAGCTCAGTCTGAACTGGGCATGGGAGACACATCAGCCATGGGATCAGGAGACCTACCCCAGAAGGAGTGAAGGATCAGGCCACAGCTCAGCTTGGGGTGGAGGGTCTGTGGCCCCCTGGTGGTCATGGTCTTCTCTCCTCACAGCCCCATGCATCTGTGCCTGTCTTAGTTTGTTTCTTGCCTGAGGAATCCTACGTGTTTCAGGCTACCTAGGGCTGCTTTGAAGGACCAGGCAGGTGATATGAAGTGTGGAAGGGCAGTGTCCCTGAGAGGACTGTCCTTCTGTCCCCTCAAACCCCTCTGCCCTCTGCCTTCCACTGCTGTCTCAAGAGGCCCTCTGTTCAGTGGCAGTGGCAGTATCCCTTAACTCAGGGATACCTGGTGTTTCTCAAGGAGAGCCCAGCTGGCATTGGTCCAGAGGAAGTAATGTCATGATGGCAGCCAGCCAGGGCCTCAGCCCTCAGCATGGGGCAGTAAACTCTCCATGTTAGCCTGGGATTGGAGAAGAGACCTTTTTGGAACAAGGGAAAGAGGGCTCCTCTCAAGGCAGGGGAGGGTAGCCCCTTCTCAGCACAGAATAGAAAGGTCTGTCTCAACATGAGGACCTGTGCTGGAGGACTCTTCCCATTCCAGGTCACCAACATCTGGCCCAAGGCTGGTCACACTTGGTACTGATGATGAGAGGATATCATACTTCCTGGAGTGCAATCTTAGGAGGGCATGCAGGAAAAGTTTGGGTGCAGAGTCAGGAAACAGACCAGACCAGGAGAACAGGTGAGCAGGTCAGAGGAAAAAAAGGAGACCACTAAACACAGGTGAGGGACACAGAGAAGAGAACTTAAGGCCTGTGGTCCTCCCAGAACACCTGTTTGCTGCCTCTGTGAACAGGTACTATCAAGGGTAGCTCAGGCTCACAGGGGTGAAAGAGGGTACAACTAACCTTATGTTGGTTGAATTATCTGGTAACGTGGTGCATAGCAGGTTTCTGCTTGCACTCATCTCTTCTGGCTCCAGCCCTTTGCCCTGGCCCAATTCCTCTGCTGACTTCACCTGTGATTATGGGGAGGAACCACATAGACCACAGAAAGAGAGCCAAGATGACCTGTACCCCCAGTCCCTTCCTTTTCTAGCAAATCCACTGCACTGCCCCTTCTCATCACCCCATGGGGTTCAGTGGCTCTGAGTCTGAGGTGGTGAAGGGGGAAAAAAGGTTGGAGAAGAATAAGTGGGTCTGGATATAGATGTACAACTTGTCTTGAGTCTGCATTACCTTTATCTGCTCCTCCTTTTCTGACTTCAGCTCCTTCTGCACAGACTGAGGTGCATCAGAGGGGTTGACAATTATAGGTATCTGCAGAGAACACAAAAGGGGCTGAGTAAGCACCAGGAAATCTGAGCCCTGGGATCAAGCAAGACCTTGCCCCTGTCCTTCCTCTTGCCCCTGGCTAGCCCTAGTTATGTCCTTGACACATACCTTCTCATTATCTTCATCCCAAATCTTGCCATCGGCATTCTTCAATGCGAAGGCAATGGTGGCATTCTCAACAAAGAACTGGGCTTGCATTTCCTCATAGTGAAACTATAGGTAGAGTGATAAGAGAAACAGAATATGAGACCAGAGCGACTACTCGTCTGCCCTGTTACTTCTCATCCACTTCACTGTCCTCTCTTACTTCAACTGGAGTGAAGGGGACGCTGCATTGCTTCTGAATCAAGTTCAGTAGCCACTTCTCATCATATTTTATGCCGAATGGAATCTAGGAGCCAAAGGAAAGATAGGGGAGGAGACTGACATAATGGGATCTAAAATTAAGAAGAACCCCAACCATGTTTTCCTTTCAGATCTTTTTCTCAGCTTTTGAAATAATAGTTTAAGATAGGACAATATCCATTATTGTCAACTTTTGTACCAGACATGAATTTCCTAAATACCATTCTTTCCTTTCAAATAGTTTTCCTCAAATAATCAACTTAAGATTTACTTCCTTTTATAAAGTTCCAAGAGATCCTACCTAAGGCAGACTTGGCCTGCACCTCTCACAAGGACCCCAGAGACTCAAAGTCCTCCTACACTTCACTGGGCCAAACTGTTCCCTCCAGTGTGGAGGTGCTCCATCTCCTTTGCAGTAGTTTTCTCCTTTGCCTTTAGACTACCTGTCCCATTCTCCTTGCAGTCAGTCTGTTTCCTTTATATTGCTTCCCTGAGCCTGACTTAGGTGACTTAGGATGTTAACTCCTAGTAATAAAGAGAAACATTGCCAACTCTTCTGCCCCAAAAAGGCACCTAGCATCTCTACATGAGTCCAACATAGCTCCCTCTGTTCATATTCTATATATTAGTTGCACTTTTCCAGGATACTCACAGTGATCTTGAACCAGCTTCCTGAGGTCTCATCCTGCCTCTTCTCCTCCATTTTTGTCTCTGGAGGATTTTGCTCTTTCTCCATGTTAACATGGGTTAGGTTCTGTTTCTGAAAATAGGCTCTCCGGTGATGGCGTGGAATGGCATAGGGAGCACTGTGGGGCAGTGGAGAGAAGGAAGTAATCCATATATGCTCAGGAAGTCTTCTATGCATGTTCGCCCCATTGATAGCAGGGCTAAAATAAAGTTTTCTCAGCCAATAATCTAATACTATAGTTGCTCATTTTTTCAGGTTGGAGAGAAGAATGACTTATTTAACTACAAGGTTATGTATTCCACTGGCCAGTACATTTCAGCCATGCTACCTGGTCACTTACTATCTTACTTGGGTGTCCTCTTGAGCATCACTTGTTGCTGAATCTCCATCTTGTTGCTGGCAGGATGAAGGATGAGTGCCAGAACTTACTTGTTCAGACACATTGTTATATCTCCTTCGGTAAATACCCCAGCGTCTTGGTCTTCTCTCTATGGTCTCTCCTTCAGGATTGTGCCCTGAAATTAAGAACAACAACACACCAATGGTCTCAATACCAGAAAAAGTCCTGGAGGAGATATCATAGCTAATGAAGAAATATTACTGACTTTCATAATCTAAAATGAAATACATCACAGTGCTAAAAACATTGAAAGACTTCACTGTGGTTCCACTTCCTGGGAGGTGAGAGGTAGGGAATATTCATAGCCAAGAAGGAAAGCACAAAGGAAAGGGTTTGGGTGTTGAGTTTAATCTGTGATGTTAGTCCCTGATCTGCCCCTTTCAGGCTAGGTGACCTGGGACAAGTTGTTTACTATCTCTAACTCTCACTTCTTTCCTCTGTTCTAGGTGCATAATAAAATCTACCCTGAAAGTATGGTTTTATGGTTCAAGAGTCAAAGGTGAGTTCCCACCTGAAAAAGCAATTAGAGAAATGAAAGAGAAGTCTGATGAAAATATCCAGAATAATGTCTAAAGAGACATAATATTGAGAACACCATAAGAAGAGAGTGCCTGGCTGGAGTTGCTCATTTGGTTGAGCGTTGTCCTCTGCCCAGAAACGTTGCTCGTTTGATTCCACACCAAGACACATACCTGGGTTTCCGGTTTAGTCCCGTTATGCCATACCTGTGGAAGGCAACCAATCGATGTTTCTCTTCCTCTCTCTAAGCATGTCTTCAAGTGAGGATTAAAAAAGAGAGAGAGAGAGAAGGAGAGAGAATTAAAGAGAGCTAGTGAATATATCTAACCCACATTTAATTTGAGCCCCCTAAGAAGGAGAGGGAACAGTGCAGAAGTGGCATTTGAAGAGATCTTGATTGTGAAGTTTCCAACAGTAATATCAAGTTGGTATAACAATATTCATAGGAGAAAGAGTATGCTTTAAGGGAAAACATTCCAAAAGAAAAGACATATTTCATAGTGATGTTAACATAGCAAAAACTGGAAACATTTGTGACCAGAAAAATCAAACTAAAAGAAATATTAAGGATTCTTCTTCAAGAAGAAAGATATATGATCCCAGAGGAGGAACATAAATGCAGGTAAGAAAGACTAATGATATTTGTGACTATGTAGGCCAATCTAAAGGAATATTGATTACGTAGCAGAATGATAACTTGTTCTGGGGTTTTAAATATATATAGAATTGAAATGCATGACAAGAAATTGGGAAGCAGTAAATGGAATCAAAGTGTTTCAAGGTCATTTCGTTGTGTGAGGAGCTTCAAATAACTAATTTACATTAGACTTTGAAAAGGCAAAAATGTACGTTGTAATCTTATGGGTTGACACTCCAAGAATAGAAAAACAACGTTTAACACTCTAGTCAAGTGAAGGAACAATTTAAAAATCAAATATATCAATCATTTAGGATGAAAGTAAGTTAGAACAGGCAAATAACAATGTACAGTAATGTGGTATAGATAAACCAATTGATATCTATACTTACGTTAATAGTTTCAGACTAAATATTCCAAATACAAAGACAAGTATTATTAGAATGGGTAAGAAACATTCCGGCAAACACTCTTTAAAAGAGATACATGCAAAATGTAGTGATCTAGAAAATTTGAAATAAAAGCAGTGGCAAAAGTATACTATTTACATATGAACCTACTAAAACCTGGTTTAACTATATTGATAAAAGACAATTACTACAGACAAAGATATTTCATTTTGATAAAATGTTTAACGCAATAGAAAGATATTAATAAAAAATTCTAAGTTTGTAAGCATGTTTCAGAGCCAAAATATGCAAATCAAAAAGTGACTGGAATAATGGACAAATCCACAGTCACAGTGGGAAATTTTTTAAAAGATTATTTTAATGATTTTTAGAGAGAGAGGGAGAGAGAAACATATACGTGAAAGTGAAACATTGATTGGCTGCCTCCTGCACGCCCCCTACCAGGGATGAAGCCTGAAACCTGGGCATGTGCCCTGACTGGGAATCAAACCGGTAACCTTTTGGTGCATGGGACAACGCTCCAACTGATGGACTCCACTGGCCAGGGCAACGGTGGGAAATTTTAACACACCTCATTGAGTGACACATAAAATGGCTGGCAAGTATTCAGCTACATGGAAATGTAGACCAATGCACATAACAACCACACAGGGAACATACCAGAATAGGTCATATGCTGGGCCGTAAAGCAAGCTTCAATAAACTGCTATGGGGTAATACAATCTACCTTGAATAGCTGATGTGAGATTCAAGGGTAATGGTGGATTCTCTGCCCCTCTCCCACTTCTAGTATGCATGTAAAGAATGTTAATTTATACAAAATCCCCCCAACCTAGGTGACCCTCTCCACTCTCCAAACCCTGGACTTAAGAGAACTGCACAACTGAGGTGTTTCCCTTTAAGAAGGGGAAAAAATTTCACCTCAGCCACATCCAAAGGAGGGGAGCTTTTTCATGTGGAACCAGAATGGGTTTGTCAGGGCCCACTTGGCATGTTTCTTCAGGAGGAAGGAAAATAGCTTGGGGGGACAGTTACCACCCCTTTTCTAAAATGGAGGGTGTCTAGGTGTCCTATGGGTTGGGGTGGGAGTGGGGACCCAGAACCTTTCCAGCCCTGTGGTAATCTAAGGCCAGGGCCTCATGCTTATCAACTCACCCATACTGTGGTCAGAAGGCAGTGCCCTGTCACCAATATCCTCACAGGTTGCTTGTGAAGAGAATCTGTGCAGTCTGGAGCTGGAGGTTTGAAGATCAAGGTGGGCTACTGAGGAAGACAAGTGCTAGTCCCAAACAATTTCCTCAGGGCCAGACAAGATGGAGTCTTTACAGGAAGTCCCTTCCTTAAAGGCATAGAGAAGAAAACTCTAAGGGCTACAGGATACTTAACTTACTATTCTTACACCCCCCTGAGCTTGCTACAAACTACCAACAAGTATACTGTTTCCAACTGAGCAACCCTTGCAGAGGAGGCCAACTAGAGTCAGGAGGCCTGGGACCCACCTGTCTGTAGCTACAAACATAGGGAACTGCATGCCAAGCTCTGTGTTGGCTGCACTACACTGTGTCTCTCATTCTGCAAACCCAGCTGTTGTCCAGGCTCTGTACTTGCTACATTGCATTTGTTCTTTCTTATTCCTTTTAATTGAATTTATTGGGTGACACTGGTTAACAAAGTTATACAGGTTACAGGTGCACAATTCTACAATACATTATCTGTACACTGTATTGCGTGTTCACCATTCCAAGTCAAGTTTCTGTTTATCACCATTTATCCCACTATACCTTCCTCCCCTGACATCTATCCTCCTCCCCCTGGCAATCACCAAAGTGTTGTCCCTGTCCATGAGTTTTTTTCTCCTCTTTTTCCTTTTTTGCTCTATCCATCCACACCCCACACTCAACCCTATCCCCAACTGCTCTCTATATATGACTCTGACTTGATTTTGCTTGTTAGTTCATTTATTCATTAAATTTCACATGAGTGAAATCACTTGGTATGTGTCTTTCTCTGACTGGCTTATTTCACTTAGCGTAATTCTCTCCAGGGTCATCCATGCTATCAAAATAGTTAAGATTTCCTTCTTTTTTATGGCTAATATTCCATTGTGTAAATGTACCACAACTTTTTTATCTACTCATCTACTTGTTAGTGTAAGAAACATTCCAATCTGCGAAGAATTTTTTTGTGAGTTTATTTCAGCCAAACTATTGACATATGCCAGGAAGCAGAATCTCAATGAATTGAGATAATGCTCTGGAGAATGACAGTTTTGCACTTTGTTTTATACATTACAATCAAAAGAGGAGACATAAGTGGGTTACATGAAATCCACTGGTGACAGATTAGGGAGGCAGGAGAAAGCAAAGCAGGGAATCTTCTGCGGTTGGATAAAAAGTAAAATGATGGACACACACTTCTTTTACTTAGGTGGGTGCAGAATAATTAACAGTCAACAATTAACTCGGTAACAATGAGGGGATTTGTGGTCTCCGTAGAGCAGTGCCTATGCTCTGAGGGGTCCGGAAAAAGGAAAACTACTTTGACATTCCAACCATATGTTATCATAGATGCAAAAAGACAATAGACAGGCTCAGTTAAGGTAAAGATTGACCTTTGTCAGGGAAGATACCGGCCTAGGACATGACTACCCACCATAAACTACTTTTTTGGTTAAAAAAGTTTTCATTTCAGACCGTCCTTTGTGGTTACTTTAGCTCTCTGAGTTTTCAAGGCTGCCACACAAGTCTTCCATGAGCTAATCAGGTTAGCATGTGGCCCCTTTTCGTCCACTTACTGATGGGCACTTGGGCTGCGTCAAAATCTTGGCTATTATAAATAACGCTGCTATGAACATAGGGGTGCATATATTCTTTCAAATTAGTGTTACAGATTTATTTGGATAAATTCTCAGGAGTGGAATCACTGGGTCATACGGCAGTTCCAATTTAATTTTTTAAAGAACCGCCATACTGTTTTTCACAGTGGCTGCACCAATCTGCTTTCCCACCAACAATGCACAAGAGTTCCCTTTTCTCCTTGTTTGTTGATATATTGATCATAGCCACTCTGACAGGTATGAGGTGCTATCTTATTGTGGTTTTAATTAGCACTTCTCTGTTGATTAGTGACTATGAGTATCTTTTCATATGTCTATTGGCCATCTGTATGTCCCCTTTGGAGAAGTGTTTATTCAGGTCCTTTGCCCGTTTAATTAGATTGTTTTTTTGGTGTTGAGTTTTATAAATTTTGGATATTAACCTCTTATCAGATGTGTTGGCAAATATGTTCTCTATTCAGTGGGTTGTCTTCTCATTTTGTTGGTGGTTTTCTTTGCTGCGCAAAAACTTTATACTTTGATGTAGTCCCTTTGTTTATTTTTTCTTTTGCTTCCCTTGCCCAAAGAGATATATCAGAAAAAATATTGCTTTAAGAAATGTCCAAGATTTTACTGCCTATGTTTTCTTCTAGGATTTTTATGGTTTCAAGACTAATATTTAAACCTTTAATCCATTTTGAGTTTATTTTGTGTATGGTGTAAGAAAATGTTCTAATTTCATTTTGTTGCACGTATCTGTCCAATATTCCCCAAACTATTTATTGTATAAACTATCTTTGCCTCAATGTATGTTTTTGCCTCCTTTGTGGAATATTAATTGACTATAAAGGCATGGTTTCATTTCTGAGCTCTCTGTTCTGTTCCACTGATCTATATGTCTGTTTTTATGCCAGTACCATGCTGTTTTGATTACTATGGCCTTGTACTATAGTTTAATATCAGGTAGCATGATTCCTTCTTTCTCAAGATCACTGTTGCTATCTGAGGTTTATTGTGGTTCCATATACATATTTGGAACTGTTTTAGTTCTGTGAAATAAGCCATTGGTATCTTGATATAAATTGCATTGAATCTGTAGCTTGCTTTTGGTAGCATGGACATTTTAATGATGTTATTTCTTTCTATCCATGAACACAGTATATACTTCCACTTATTTGTATCTTTTTCAATTTCTTTCTTCAGTGTCTTATAATTTTCCAAGTACAGGTCTTTCACTTCCTCTGTTAAATTTATTTCTAGGTATTTTATTATTTTTTGAAGCAATTGTGAATAAGGTTGTTTTCTTAATTTCCCTTTCTGGTATATAAAAATGCAACTAATTTCTAGATATTCATTTTGTATCCAGCAACTTTACTGAATTTGTTTATCAGTTCCAGTAGTTTCTTGGTGGAATCTTTAGTGTTCTTTATATACAGTATCATGTCATCTGCAAATAATGACAGTTTTACTTCTTCCTTTCTGATTTGGATGCTTTTTATTTCTTTTTTTTTTTCTTTTTAAATATATCTTTATTGATTTCAGAGAGAGAAAGGGAGAGGGATAGAGAGAGATAGAAACATCAATGATGAGCAAGTCGTCATTGATCAAATCAAGCCTNGAGAGAGATAGAAACATCAATGATGAGCAAGTCGTCATTGATCAAATCAAGCCTGCAACCCAGGCATGTGCCCTGACTGGGAATTGAACCTCAATCTCCTGGATCCTAGGTCAATGCTCAACTGCTGAGCCACACCCTACCAGGCCTTTTTATTTCTTCTTGTCTGATTGCTTCAGTCATGACTTCCAGTACCATGTTGAATAAGAGTGGAGAAAGCAGACATCTTTGTTTTGTTCCAGATCTTAAAAGAAACACTTGTAGATTTTGCCCATTGAGTATGATGCTGGCTGTGGATTTGTCATATATGGCCTTTATTATGTTGAGGTATGTTCCCTCTATTCCCACTTTACTGAGAGTTTTTATCATAAATCAGTGCTGGATTTTATCAGGTTTTTTTTTCTGCATCTATTGATATGATCATGTGGTTTTTATCCTTCATTTTGTTTATGTAACATTTGATTTGTGGATATTGTACCAAACTTGTATCCTTGGAATAAATTTTACTTGATCATGGTGTATGATCTTTTTAATGTATTGCTGAACCCAGTTTGCTAATATTTTGTTGAGAATTTTAGTGTCTATGCTCATCAGGGATATTGGCCTATAATTTTCTTTTTTTGTAATGTCTTTATCTGGTTTTGGAATTAAGATAATGTTGGTCTCATAAAATGAGCCTGGGAGTCTTACTTCCTCTTGAATTTTTTGGAATACTTTGAGAAAGACAGATGTTAGTTTTTAATGTTTGATAAAATTCACCTTTGAAGTCATCCAGTCCAGGAGTACATTATGTAATAGGACAAGTATTTGGGTACAAGTTGCCTCCATTTCCCAAGGTAGCAACATTCCCCAGTCTATTGCATTATTTCTTGTTTCAATGTTGAGCTTCCAGGACTCACTGTCAGGTTTGGACTAATCTTGCTTGTGAGGTCATACCTCACTACCCTACTGGTGGACACTATCCATCTTACTCTCTGTGGATATTTCCAGTTATGCAGGTCTACAGATCCAGAGAGGGAAGATTGGGATGCAGATAAGAAATTAGCTGACAGTGCCCAGAATAAAGTAGACCTGATGCACATTAATAAATTGAGATGTAGATGCAGGGTAAGCAGGAGGCGAAACTAAGTGTCTTTTCTCAGTCTTTTTATATACATATGACTTTTTCAAAGAGAGTGGAGATCACAATGTACTTACAGTTTTGTAATGTACTTGAAGAAAATATTTTTTCTGTTTCTTTAAATTGTGCCTTTTCATTGAGAAAAATACCTTAGGAAACGCAGAAAGATGTCATCTGGACATCAGAGTCAGAATTGTAGGTGTGAAAGTCTCAACTAGGAGACTTGGTAAAGTGTAGGGGATTTGGAGGGAGTGTGAGAAATGCGTGGATTCCATTGGTATAGGGCCTATACTATAGGCCAAAGCTTTCTGGACTTTTCCACACATTGGCAGCGACCCTTCTTTGTTTATGTCCATCCTGGGATCTTCAAGGGCTAGGGCTGGAAATCCAGCCTCTAATTGAGCTGAACAGAAAGCTGCAAGAGTTAGAGTGTGGATAATTGTCGTGAAAAAGTTGAGGCATAGAAGCACAGATACCACTCCCCCCCACACACACACAGAGAAACATTCCCAAATAAATTGTTTTGATATGCTTCTTTTCCCCATAAAAACCTTTATCCATAAAACCACGAATTTATTCCCAAAGCAAAGAATATAAAAACATCTTATT